CTTATCACATAGTCTCGTAGACATCAGGTTACTGTACCATAAACACCGACAGAGAGTCCATGTTCCCCAGCCTTACAAGATAAGGCAGCACATGAGTGATACTATTCAGTTATGTTGACAACCGAACCATGACAAGCAAGAACCAGGTTTTATGCTCGTCTTAAAATCCACAGCTTCTATGATTCACTTCTTTTTCCCCCAAAAAGAAGGTGGTTCCCCTTGTGAAGAGCCACAGTGACAGAAGAATCTAAGAGTTTACAGGGGTTGGATTGAACAATATTAAGAATCCAAATAGATAGCTGACTCACCACCTATCCCGTTGGATTCAAGCAATAACGTATGAGTCAGATTAAGGAGAATTATGTAAATTTTATGATAAAATTGATATTTTATTCTTATCCTGACTCATAGTCTAAAGGCCCTCCCAACTGTCCCCTCTCAGACACTATTTGGCTGTGGTCATTTAGGTGGGAGTTAAGATGGAGAGAATGACACTTAAGGGTGGATCACGTGGGATACTGGCGCGGGAAAGGCAGATGAGATCACCCTAATGAGGGTGAGCTATTTTTAAACATAGGACAGAGGTTTCCACTGAACCTTGGAAGAGAGTCAGGATAAGTATAAAATATCAATTTTATCATAAAAATTACATTTCTCTACCGTGTACTTTGATCTCCATCAATATTTGAATACAACTGCCAAAACTATAAATGTTACCATCCAGCTAGAATGTTCTATTGTGACCTTCTTTCTGCCAAGGGGACTCCAGCATAGAAAAAATATCATCCATCTTTGGTATTGGGATAAAAGCATTCTAAACAATAGGAAAGAAATATACTGATATATCTACATCTGTGTGAACAGTGCTCATTGCATCAGTATTCATTAATTTTCCTTATCCTGACTTATACATTATTGTTTTATCTCCCTTTCTTCCGAGGTATAGTAGAAACTTCTGTCCTATTGTTCCCTAATGAACAGTCTAAAAATAGCTCACCCCAAATGGGTCTGTCCAGTTTCTCGTGCCAGTCCCAAGTGACCACAAGCTGCATGTCACTCTCTCCATTTTCGCCCTAATGGGTGGTTGGATGGATTCCTCTAGTCCTTATACAAGCTACCTAACTTATGTCTCAGCCTATATATCTAAATTGCTGCTGGTATATGCATCTTATATTCTTTTAACATATTCATTTCAAGGTCACAGCGACACTTTGAAGATTTCAGCATGTTAACCTGCATGTTAAGCTTGTCAGCAAGATTCCTCATGAATCATTCTCTGGATTTTCTTCATATTTGACACCAAGCTTCATCTACTGAATGTGCATGGCTCAGTTGATATTGGTGACCTTACGTAATTATTCAAGGTCATGGCGACACTTTGACGATTTCAGCATGTTAACCTGCATGTTAAGCTTGTCAGCGAGATACCTGAAGAACCATTCACTGGATTTTCTTCATATCGGACACCAAGCTTCATCTGGGGAATGGGTCCAGTCGATTTTGGTGACACTCTGAATATTTCAGCATGTTAAGATTGTCAGCAAGATATCTCAAGAACGGTTCACTGGATGAAAACATGTAGTGTATACAGATACAGAGTATCTGATTATTATCCTCACCCTGCATGCTCTTCATGCTGTTCTTAAGACGTTCTCAGTTGTACGTGCAGAGCAAGATGACCTGGAAGCCTGCACACAAGCTCCGCAGCAGTCGACTGACTATGATGCAGAAGATATCTCCTTCACGCAGCCTCCTCCGGTGTTAGAAACAGAAGTGGTCATCAGACAGACCCCATCAATGCAGACGATCCAGAAGAATTCCTGTGCATAGGCGCAGATCCTCCCTCAGATGCAGACCTTCATGCAGCTGTTGACCCAGATTCCAGACTTCCCACATGGGACCACCAGCCAGATCAACCCGGCCTCATTGCAGATTCCTGCCTTTGTGCAGGCAGTGTTCCACCAACCCTCCTCTGGTCATCTGCAACCCCTGGTGCAGCCGCAGACGTTCGCAGACACAGCCTTTGTGCAGTCTCAACGCTGCATTCATGCATTCCCAGCCCACTGTACAACAGCCGGACCTGGTTGCATCCATCACCCAGCAAGTCCTCTTTGCCATGCTTCAACACTGTATACCTGCACCTGCGGAGATCAACAGACCGCTTAATCAGTCTACTCCTGCAACTTCTGTCAATGGGGAATCTCAACAAGAGAATCTTAGTATCTCAGCCATGGAAGATGCTTCTCAAGAAGACCTCGACACATCCGTTTATGATCATCAAGATCATGGATTGCGAATAGACTCCCGGATCTCTTCACCCATGACGGACTCTTCACCTGCAGATACCTACTGCATCCAGAATGACGACATTGACACACTCACCATCCTGTCTATGACGCCGGTATCCCAGATACCGGACAGCTTAAAGTCTAAATTGTGAAGGCCACCGAGCCTCAAGGATTACCGACTCCACTTTTTAATGGGGAGAAGTTCCCTCTACATAAAATGGAGGTGTTTAACATTCTCCTGCGATAGATGAAGACTTATGAGCGACGAGATCCAAGACCAGATCTTACAGGGTCGAAGACAAGAAACTGGTGCAACTGGACACCACTACCAGGAGGGCCTTCTGTGGACTTGCTATGTCCAGAGGTATTAACAAGGCAATGCTGAACACTCTGAAGAATCTGCAGATGGACTGTGAGAGGATGTTCCTGTCAGCGATGGTGCTGCAGAAGAGGAACCAAGAGTTCGTCTCCGACCACATGTCATCTACATCGGCTGGCCATAATCTTGTGCGTCATCAGCGTCTATTCTCCTCCTGCCACTGGTCAGATCTCTATACCAAGCCACTCAGGCAGCTCCTACTCCCAACATTGAAGAAGAGGTGTCAAATTGACTGGTAGCTTCCACCCCCAAACGTTCCCTTACAACCTTCTACCGTGGGTGGATGTCTCATGACTTATTTGCAAAACTGGTTATTTCTTCAAAACCCGTTCCTGCCTCAAGTTCTTCACGAAGGCCACCGAATCCAGCTGAAGGCCATGCCTTCTCTGACTACTCAGCCATCAACCGTAGATTATCCTGAGCCGATCAGACAAAAGTTAACAGAGGCCATCAACTCCCAACAAGCTCGGCGCCCCTGCTAGTGTTGACCTTCCACCTCTTTGAGCTCACAAACAGTCTCCATTTGGGAGTAAAGGCCAGACACATCCCAGGTGCTGTCAACATCCTAACAGACACGTTGTTGCTGCGCCTGGATGCTGAGCCTGGAGGCCTTTCAACTACTAGTGCTAGGTCAGGGCTACCCACTTGTAGACCTCTTTGTGACAAGGTTCAACATGCAGATAAAGATCTTCGTCTCACTGGTTCCAGATCCACTAGCCTAGACGCCCAAGCCATGTCCTGGAAAGGACAACACTTATGTGTTCACGCCTCCCGTACTTCTACCAAGAGTCATACGGAAGATCACTCAAAAGAAGATCCTGCGACTGATTTTGGTAGCACCCTATTGGCCTTCGAGAACATGTTCCCAAACCTCATAAGACTTTTAGTAGAACCAAGTCTACAATTTCCGAACTGGCCAAATCTACTGATTCATCCGGATACAAAACAGGTTCATGCAAATCCCGAGAGCTTCCAATTACACCCATGGAACATATTACGAACTGTCTCACCAAAAGAGGATCTGAACTAGAGCAGCCAAGGCCGTCACTCAAGCTCTCAGATGTTCTACCAAGAATCTCTACGATGACAAGTGGAAGAGCTTTGACCAGGTTGCAGAGCAGAAAGGGTTCTCAGCAACCAGGGCTATGCATCAAGTGGTGGAATACTTGTGTCATATGTGAGTTACCAGACATCTGGAAGGTTCTACCTTGTCTACGTACCTAGCGGCCATCAGCTCAGTCCTCACCTTGAACCCAGGAATGAAACTGACCAAAGTTCCAGAACTCCTCGCGCTGTTGAGATCCTTCAAGCTAGAAGATCAACAGAGTAAGCTTAAGGCACCAGCATGAAAAAACACATCTAACCAGCGAAGATTATGAGCCATTACAGAAAGCAGACTTTGAGTTGCTATGTCAGAGGGTTGTTGTTCCTCCTCGCACTTGCTATGCTACAGTTTCCAGAATATCAGAAATCTATGCGATTGACTACAGTCAAACTATGAGTCAAGATAAGGGAAAATGTTTCATTTATGTGATAAAATGGATATTTTATACTTATCCTGACTCATAGTCTAAGGGCCCTCACAACTGTCCCCTCTCATACACTATTTGGCTGTGGTCATGATAGTTGGGTGTTTTTGGAGCGAGTGACACATAGCCAGTGATCACATGGGACGCTGGACAGGAAGGGAAGCGGCCCATTTGGGGTGAGCTATTTTAAGACTGTTCATTAGGGAACAATAGGACAGAGGTTTCCACTGTACCTCGGAAGAAAAGGGAGATAAGCATTAATGTATGAGTCAGGATAAATATAAAATATCAATTTTATCATAAAAATTACATAATTTTTTTTATGAAGTCTACAGAATATTGAACTTATTGGAAACTAAAAATATCTCACTCTTCCTACCACTTAACCGATAGCCATCTGTTCCTCTGTCATTTATCATCTGTCTCTTCCTACAGCATACAATAAGACCTATCTCATCTTAAAACATACATTTCTCATCTTTCTCTACCTTCAGCATACACTAAGATTTCTCTCTTCTTGACACTTACACTTATCGTCTTTCTCATCAGGGAACATATTCTAAGACCTCTTTCATCTTAAAATATATACATTTTTCATCTTTCTGTTCCTTCAGCATACACTAAGACCTCTTTCTTCTTAAAACATACACTTATTGTCTTTTTCTTTATGGAATATACACCTTTCTTTTCCTACAAAGAGTACATTCAGAAGTCTATTTTGATATTGAGCATACTTAAGTATTGTTCCTGTTAGTTGATTTGATTTGGTTATGTACATAAACCTGAATTTCTCATTCTTTGCAGAATATGTCTGATCCATCACATCGCCTTTCACAAACAAGTTTTTGTAGTACATCTAGCCTCAACCACTCACCCAGCAATGTGGGGCCTCATAGTCTAGTTGAGAGATGTCAACTCTCACCACCATTGAGTCCATCGAAACAAAGTGACCTTGCTTCCCTGATTGAGAAGATTAATCAGACGACAGTGAAGCTACAACAAGCAGCAAGGCATGATAAGTGCAGGCAGGCTGGTAACAGGCCCGAAGATATCAAGACCTCAAGACTGGATGGTGGAGACAGCAACACTCAAGATTCCCCAAGACGAGATACTTTTGGCAGTGATAATCAAAATGCTTTAAGACCAGACCCTTGTCACAGTAATGCTGAAGATGCATCAAGATCGTATACTTTGGGGACTGACAATCAAAGTTCCTCAAGACCAGACACTTCCACTACCCATTTGGATGTTAGTAAATGCAGTAGAGGGGATTTGGAGGAAATGTATGAAGATACATGTGTCTCCTTTGGAGAGGAAGAAGAGTCAGAGAAAGATGTTGCTCAACAAAGAAAGGACTTGCATACTGTGCCTCAGTGTGACAGGGAGAATCATGGAAAGGACCAGCAAGACATGCACAAAATGGAAACTACTATATGACATGTCGCAGCTCTGTAATGGAACATTGTTTTGACTAAACCTGCTGAGTACGAATGCATTGTAAAGCTGACATCATTTAGCACAAGTTTTATGATAGATGTCAATAATGTCACATCAGCCATCATGCGGCAGGACCGTTCAATAAAATCCTGTCAGTAATTGCCTCTTTTGCATAATGTTCATTTTGTTTCAAGAATATAACAATGTTTTACATGCTTGTGAATATGTGATATTTTGAGTAAACTTTTCTAGTTTTAGACATGGTACAATATAAGGACTGTAGATTTCTCTTTTCACTGAGCTGTAGGTATTGATATGAACTCATCAAACTATCCAACCTGACTCTTTTATTGTCTTTGTATTAATAAAACATACATATGGTGAAAATGCTTTGGGTGTCTTCATGTTTATTGTTTTCAAAATATACTAGCCACATAAAGAAACTGTGCATTGTCAAAATATTATCCCAGTTGATAAGTACTATAACAATGTCAAAGGTACATATGAACTTTAATGGAGGGATCATGAGACCATAACAAGTCGGGAGAATTTCAATTGAAAAGTCAATAACAATGACAGGGACAGGGGTCAAACGACCATGTCACAAGCTCAACAACGGGTATGTCCACCATCAGCAGTGAGAACAGCAGTGCATCGACGACGTATCTAAGAGCCTATCAAACGTGCAAGGAAGGCTTGTGGGATGTCACGCAAGTTCTGTTGCAAGGTCAAGGACGTTATTTGGCGGATGAGGAAGATGGACGTCGATCCATCCATATCTCGTCCCAGACATGCTCTATCAGGGAGAGATCCGGTGAATTTGCAGGCTAAGGCAGTAAGTCAACGTTGTGGTGTTGCAAGAAATCCATAGCAACCCTTGCTGTATGAGGGCGGGCATTGTCCTGTTAACCAAGGGCCATGACATTGCAGAAAAGGAATTGCCACAGGTCGAAGAATCTGATCCCTATAGCCCACACCAGTTAAGTTGCCCTGAACAATCACCAAAGGAATTCTTTGGCGTGCTGTTATTCCACCCCAAATCATCACGGAACCACCACCAAAGCGATTCCAAGACACAGGCCTGTGCATAACATTTTCCCACGCGTCTATCGTCACGTTGACGTCCATCACTATGGGAAATGTTAAACCTGGACTCATCTGTAAAAACAACATTTCTCCACCAAAACAAGGGTCTGCAGACATGATTTTGGCACCACATTCGGCGAGCTTGTCGATGACGTATTGTCAGGATAGGCCGTATGGAGGGACGTCTTGGTCTGATCCCGTGATGACATAAATGTTGTCAAACTGTGTTTGGGTGGATACGGCGAAGTCCTGGGATGGTTCGGGCAGTCATCACTGCAGTCTGAAACCTGTGGCGCAGATGGGTCACCCTTATCCATCTGTCCTGTCATGGCGTTGTTACACGTGGACGTCCAGAACGTGGCCGATCGATGACGTCATTTGTGTTCTGGTAGCGTCTCACCAGTGCAGCAATGGTGTTCCGGTGGCAGTGGAAATGTGCAGCCACTTGTCGTTGAGACATTCTCCCACGGACCATCCCAATGGCCTCATGACGTTGTGCAGACGTGAGCCTTGGCATGCTGTGCGTTTCAATAGCCGTTTAAGTTTTTTGAACGATCGCAAGGGCTTTCCAAAGTGACAGCATTGTGTGGCATTCATTTACTCTGTTTCTCTTTCCCGGAATGCTCGTGCAACAACGTATTGCACATCTCAAGGACGAACCCACTGACGTCACGGAACGTGGACGGGGTATGCATGTTGGATACATGTTACTAATGTCTGAGTTTAATTCTATGTGTCTACACAGGTTTGATAAATTTAGATTTTAAATTTTTGTATGCAGTTTCTTTATGTGCCTAGTATATATCTCATTTTATTGTTCTTTAATGAGTTGAAAAAGCTTCAAAATTTCTTTCAACAAGCTGCTTACAAGGTTTGTGTTGTGGCCTTTTTGCAGCTAATCTTGTGAGCTTCTGGCAGCTGTTGCTGAGGTGTTGTTGTGATGGTCTTTCAACTATCCCAAGCGTAAATCTGAGGGGCTGGGGCAGCCATCCCCAGGTTAAGCTTGTGAGGATGTGGCAGCTAACCCTGGGATAGGCTTTAGGGGATGTGGCAGCTAACCCTCCGTGAAGTTTGCAGGAGTTTGGCAGTGGACCCTGGATTAGGCTTGTGGAGTGGTGACAGCTAACCCTGGGTTAAGCTTGTGGAGTGGAGCTAAACCTCGGTTAGGCTTTAGGAGATGTGGCAGCAGACCCTCGGTTATGCGTGTGGAGTGATGGCAGCTAACCCTCTGTCAGGCTTGTGGAACAGTGGCAGCTGACCCAGGGTTAAGTTTACCACTACCCAGCAAGTGGCGCTCACACCAAACTGATGTCCCTAACTACATATATGCGATGCCACTCACTACCAAGAGATCTTCAAGAAGCATAAAACTTTATCGAGAGTCAGTCGATTTTCAGAATGTAATTTTAGCTTGATCGAAAAGGAAGTATTTTGCATAAAGTTTTATGACTTTGTTATTGACTCAACAGCTTCTTGAATTCCAATCAATCAATCAAACAAACAAACGGTTCCAGGCTCACCCAAGCAGATGTTATATAACCGACCATCAGTGTTTCACACAAGCTACAGGATGTGACACATTACTAAGTGGATCTCACCAACTACTCAACATGCCTCACACATATAGATGTCTAACACTTGCCAATTTGCAACTGACCCAAACCAATATACATGTTGTTGTTTACTTGTTATTTCTTCGTTTGTTGGTTTCACACTGAATTCCCTTCCAAGAAGGTGTCACACTGTTACTTGTCGAGGGTCAAACTGAAGAAATAAGTTCATCCAAAAACATATGCAAAATACCAGGAAATTACAGACATTTTGATTAAGAATTGTTTTGTAAAATTATCTACCTTTATCACTACAAAATTATAAATTTACTGCTAAGTAATTAAAATGACAACACATTGGCACACAACATATAGGTAACTCCAAAAAAAGTCAACAATTTTTCAACTGGCAGCCAATATTGGTCAATCTTCGGGAAAAAAGTACTGGACATAAACGGTAAGAACGATCTTCACTGCTGGTTTATGTGTAATGGGAAAGGCATGCTCTTGCCCACAAACATAGTCTAAATACCTTTCAGAAAGTTATATACATCTCTGGATAACAACAGACAATTACTCTCCAAACAGTTGGGGTGGGGTAGCCCAGTGGTTAAAGCTTTCGCTCGTCACACCGAAGACCCGGGTTCTATTCCTTACATGGGTACAATGTGTGAAACCCATGTTTGGTGTCCCCTGTCGCGATATTTACTGGGTATTGCTAAAAGCGGCGTCAACCTAAAACTTACACACGTACACTCTCCAAACAAATTCCTTTCTTTTGTACAGAAATGAGTGGGGCTGCAACGCATGAGAACATTTTACCATACCAAGAAATATCTGTTTCAAGACGCTGAACCTGGTATTCCCATTTCACAGTTTTACAGCCAGCTTGGGTTTTACGAGTCTCTCAGGAAGGCATGGGTATCTGAGTTAGCTGAAAGTTTAGAAATGTTCAGCTTCTTGTCAACAATACATCAAACTCACAATTCTGAATATCACACACACACTCCAAGTAGCTTGTAATGTTTTTCTAATCATGTTGATCCGACAAAGCTTTATCTATCACTAACTTTCCTTTCAGTAACACACTGACCGTGACATTCTAATTTAGGATCGATCAGGAACTGGCAACAAAACGGAAACTTCACCACAACGAGGGATCTTTTGAAGTTATTCCCAGTGCCCTCTGGAATGTACAACCTAAAATGATAAAACATAGTCAAATAGTTCCGACCTATCATTAGGCCCTTATTGTTCCTAGTTCCTTAACGACCCTTGAACAGAATAGATCAAAACATCCCCTCACAAAAGAAATGTGACTGTCTTCATCAGAATCCTTAGTCTCAAAACAATTAATACACTAGCCACAAAGAATATATCCACATGGGAAATCTAATTATATATTGGAACTAGATGTGTAAACAAATATAAATGCTAGTAGACATGGTAATTAGAGAATTCAATTGAGCACATCCATATGATACGTTTAGTGATGTCTGGGGTTGTGTTCGTGCATCTCGATAAATTGCTTTGAACACATGACTGTCAAAAGTACTGTCGATTTTATAAGCTTAGTCGTACCGCCACTAACGATTACACAACATGAGGCTATTGAGATGGGTGGCTGCACTGGTTTCAGGACTGGTTGAAAACTTCTCAGAACACGTTGCCAATCGGTTTCATGGAATGATGGATACGGGTGACCCATCAGGTTCCAGACCGCAGTGGTCACTACTCAGAACATTCCAGGAATTCTGTATATCCACCTTCACACAGCGAGGAACCACTTACGTCATTACTAAAAATGTCTTGATGTGACCACGTCCTAACACCATACCAACCCTGACGCAACGTTGTCAATAAACAGAGGTGGTGCCAAAGTTATGTCTGTCAACCTCGGTTGGGAAGGAGAACGGTTGTTTGTACAACAGATATTACCAGTGGCAAATCCGTTTAAACACCGTCATCGCCAATGATTTACATTCAAACACGAAAATGCCTGTTTCCACAGTCCAATGGCGTTTTTCAACAGCACAATGTTCAAGTATTGCTTTGGTGTAGAATTCCATCGGATCCCTCGCCTATTAAGCTTGTGTGGGATGAAAAAGAGCCTACGCCATTTACAACATCTGCCAGACATTGTTCGTGATTTGGCAGCAGAGTTGCAAGGAATATATAGCCAACAATTCACAATGATCTATGCCCTTACATGTCCTTCTATGCATCGCCGATGATTCAACGCAGTTCCCTCGTGTCTTGCATTATACCTTTTCCTTTCCTTGAAATACTAACCAAATGGAACTTGTCTTAGCGTATTCTAACCAAAGAGCCTTATTGGATCCTCTCCGCAGGCTTAAGCAATCCAGAACTGGTTTCGCAAAAGCCGAATTTTCAAACGATTATTCATTTGTGCAAGCCCTAAAAGTTTTGGAATCGTTCTCAGGAGAAATTCTACTTAGTCATAGCATAATTGTAAACTGATTAAAGGTAAATGACCTGGAATTTCATTTTTATAGATACTATATTTTCATATATTTTATGATGTTCTAGACCCATGGCAATCAGCAGGTTAACAATCTTGAACGCAGAAAGCTTATACGACCCTTCCTTATCCAATCAAAATGCTAATTCTGTCTTCAAATTCACATCTAAAACCAAGTACACCATTAAACAAAACCTCACCATTGGCAGCGGACACCCCAGAAAGTGGCATGAAACCATCCAACAGCAGAGCTTGAAGAGCACCAGTATCCCCCAGAACGGGAATGGATTTATCATTGGAACTGTCACCTTTAGCTGACTCAACACCTTTACAAACGAAAGGTAAATATTGGTTTCTCACATTAGACTTTGATGATTTTTCTACAAAAGCTAACTATTCTTTACCTGAACCGCAAAAAGGTTGGGACCTGACTTTCAGTGAAGCATTAGGGGAAGTATTGCTGTTTTAAGGAACAAGCTGTATACTCAGAAATAATAAGTCATAGCTTACTGCAATATCCTTGAAAATCGAGAAGCTTCATCAAAACTAATTGATATTAAGCAGTGTGTACATCAACTCATCTATTGTATAAACTCATTCTGCTTATTGTTTTAATCACTGTCAGTCTGTACGTCAACCTACTTTGCTCAAATCACTAATTAGCCATCCAGCGTATATCAGCCTTGTCAATTGTGTATACTCACTATGCAGCTACAACTCTTTGTATCACTTGCTTGATAACTGTGTTAGTACCTACACCGAAACGTCGCACTCATTGCAATAAAGAAGTTGACTATCCATAGAACATGGTTATTCATCCACTGCCAGAACCCTCCTTTATCTGACAACCTACCCCTTCACTACCCGAAAATGTATCCATCCAATACCTGACAACCCACACCTGACAACCTTCCCCTTCACTACCAGAACACTTCATTACCCTACCATGTATCCATACACTACCAGACAGCCTACAACTCACTACCCGACAATGTATCCCTCCACTACCAGACTACCTATCACTACCCGAAAATGTATCAATCCACTACCAGACAACCTACCCCTTAACTACCCACTAAGGTATCCATCCACTACCAGACAGCCTACCCCTTCACTCCCCAAAAATGTATCCATACACTACCAGACAACCTACCCCTTCACGCCCCAACAATGTATCCACACACTACCTGGCAACCTACCCCTTCACTACCAGACCACGTATGCATACACTACCTGACAACACTCCCCATCACTACCCGAAAATGTATCCATCCAATAACTGAGAATGTACCCCTTCACTACCCACAAATGTATCCATCCACTACCAGACAACCTACCCCTTCAGACAACCTACCCCTTCACGCCCCAACAATGTATCCATACACTACCTGGCAACTTACTCCTTCACGCCCCAACAATGTATCCACACACTACCTGGCAACCTACCCCTTCACTCCCAGACCACGTATGCATACACTACCTGACAACACTCCCCATCACTACCCGAAAATGTATCCATCCAATAACTGAGAATCTACCCCTTCACTACGCACTAATGTATCCATCCACTACCAGACAACCTACCCCTTCACGCCCCAACAATGTATCCATACACTACCAGACAACCTACCCCTTCACGCCCCAACAATGTATCCATACACTACCTGGCAACTTACTCCTTCACGCCCCAACAATGTATCCACACACTACCTGGCAACCTACCCCTTCACTACCCAACAATGTATCCATACACTACCTGGCAAACTACCCCTTCACGCACCAACAATGTATCCACACACTACCTGGCAAACTACCCCTTCACTACCCAACAATATATCCACACACTACCCGACAATGTATCCATACAATACCTGACAACCTACCCCTTCACTATCAGAACATTTATACATACACTACCTGGCAACCTACCCCTTCACTATCAGAACATTTATACATACACTACCTTGCAACCTACCCCTTCACTACCCAAAAATGAATCCATCAACTACTTGACAACCTACCCCTTCCCTACCTGACAATGTATCATCTCACTACCTGACGATATACCCCTTCACTACCAGAACCCTTCACTTCTGACAATGTATCCGTACACTACCAGACAATCTACCCCTTCACTACCAGAAGCCGTCACTTTCCGACAATGTATCCACCTACTACCTGACGATATACCCCTTCACTACCAGAACCCTTCACTACCTGACAACCTACCCCTTCACTACCGACAATGTATCCGTACACTTCCAGACAACCTACCCATTCACTATCAGAACACTTCACTACCCAAAAATGTATCCGTACACTACCTGACAACCTACCCCTTCACTACCGACAATGTATCCGTACACTACCTGGCAACCTACCCCTTCCCTACCTGACAATGCATCCATCCAATACCAGTACCTAACAAGCTGCCCCTTCACGCCCCAACAATGTATCCATCCTGTACCTGACGATGTACCCCTTCACTACCCGACAATGTATCCATCAAGTACCTGACAACCTACCCCTTCTTTACCTGACAGTGTATCCATCTACTACCTGACGATATACCCCTTCACTACCATAACCCTTCACTACCTGGAAATATATCCATACCTGACAACCTACCCATTCACTACCCAACAATGTATCTATACACTACCTGACAACCTACCCCTTCACTACCAGAACATTTCACTACCCGACGATATATTCATGCACTACCTGGCAACCTACCCCTTCACTACCAGAAGCCGTCACTATCCGACAATGTATCCATCCACTACCTCACCAATATTTCCCTTCACTTCCCGACAATTTATATCCCACTACCCGACGATGTATCCTCTGCTACCCGACGACGTACCCTTCATTAACTGACTACGCGCCTGTTCACTACCCGACTATGTACAATGTCACTGTCTGAACCTGTGCCGTGTCACCGTGTCACTTTGTTTCCTGCCACTACCCATATATTTACTTCTCTACTACCCGAACATATTCTTCATATACCCCTGTTCTACCCGACTGCGTACAACGGCAGTTACTAGACCCGCAAACACCCGTTGAAACTAACAGGACTCCAGGCAGCCCAGGCAACCGGTCGTACAACAGTAAAGTTTACAGACCCCGATTGCCGAAATACACAGACCGTATGTCCTACAGAGGCGGTCGTGCAGCGCCTCTAACAACAAACATAGTAACCATGCAGGAGAACAGCCCTGTGGCCCTCGTTACCCACTCTGTGTGTTTCTATAGCCAAACATACACAGGTAACGACCAGTTCAACTCCACCGACTATCATCTCAGTCAGTATGGTAAGTAATCTGGTCATTGTAAATCAAACATATCCACATTAAACTGACGAACTGAATTAATTGTTGAACATGATGCTAGTTTAGTTTGAAGTATTTTTCTTGGACTCGATATAATCTGTTTCGACAGCACCAACGTGGCCGGGACTGTACATCGTGTAATACCTGATCTGCTTGATCGATCTTTGAATGTAGGTCTCCCACACTGAGCTGTGAACAACTGGCGCTGCAGGCGACTCCACACGCCTGGAATAGTAGTGAGATTACGTTACTGTCTTGATACATGTAACATATTATATGCGGCCGTCACAAAGTGTATGGTATGTCCGCTGGTATACTAGTATATAGCATTCGCCATGGTTGAGATTTGAAAATTTCTGTATAACCCATAGTAACTGCAGTGGAAACTAACATTGATATAAGCAGCTTCGCCCCCTCCGACAATAAAACCTGAGATGTTATGTGGTGAGATTTATTTTGGCTGAATACTGTGAAGAGGCGACATCACCTTCATGCACTTCGGTTCTGAACATTACATAATTTTACACCTACAGTGTTAAGTCCTGTAACGCATTTTGTTAAAACAAGGTATACTTCCGCGCGTGCAATTCAAATGTGTAAAATGAAATTAACTATTGTCACGAGTAAAGCTGTTCATGAATGGAAACGGTTTTTCATCACATGTTACTAGATTTACATCCCCCATATATACATATCTTTAAATGTTTTTGTATTGTATAACTTTCATACACTTGTACCTTGTAAAATGTAATATCTGCTAAATCATGCATATGTATCTTCAATTTTGGAGGAAATAAAGACGATCTATCTATCTATCTCTATCGAACTATAAAGTGTTATGAAGACAATATAGAGTATGTCGTGTAATACAGATAATATAGACACTTATATGTGTGATATGGATAATATAGACTCTTATATGTGTGATAGATGTGTAGGGCATGTGCGGTGAAATTGATAACATAGGCTATTTGGTATTGTATAGACTACGTATGCCATGTAGAGTGATCTCGATAATATAGTCTGTGTGAAGTGAAATAGATGATATAGGTTATGTGGTGTGATAGCGAGTGAGTGAGTTTTGTTTTACACCGCTTTTCGCAATATCCAAGCAGAAACCTGGGCCTTTGGCGTCATGGGCGAACGCTTTAACCACTGGACTACCCCTGCGGTATGATAGAGCTAATGTTGACTATACGGGCTGCAATAGATAATATAGACCAGGTTGTGTCAAATGGATAATATAGCCTATGCGGGATGAGACTATACGGAGTGTAGTTATTACAGGCTATTTAGGGAGGAATAGATAATATATACTATTATGTGTGTGATAGATGATATATACTATGTGTGAGATATAGACAATATTGGCTGTGTGATGTGAGATAGATAATATTGACTGTGTGGTGTGTGATGTAGATAATATTGGATGTGTGGTGTGAGATAGATATTATTGACTGTGTGGTGTGTGATATAGATAATATTGGCTGTGTGATGTGAGATAGATAATATTGACTGTGTGGTGAGTGATGTAGATAATATTGACTGTGTGGTGTGTGATATAGATAATATTGGCTGTGTGGTGTGAGATAGATACTATTGACTGTGTGGTGTGTGATATAGATAATATTGGCTGTGTGATGTGAGATAGATAATATTGGTGTGTGATATAGATAATATTGGTTGTGTGGTGTGAGAGATATTATTGACTGTGTGGTGTGTGATAAATACTGCTGTGTGGTGTGAAATAGATAATATTGACTGTGTGGTGTGTGATGTAGATAATATTGACTGTGTGGTGTGTGATATAGATAATATTGCTGTGTGGTGTGAAATAGATAATATTGACTGTGTGGTGTGTGATGTAGATAATATTGGATGTGTGGTGTGAGATAGATATTATTGACTGTGTGGTGTGTGATATAGATAATATTGCTATGTGGTGTGAAATAGATAATATTGACTGTGTGGTTTGTGATGTAGATACTGTTGGCCGTGTTGTGTGATAAAGATAATATCGGCTATGTAGACGGAGTTAGACGATATAGGTTATGTAGGGAGAAATAGATGACATAGACTATGTTGTGTCTGATAGATAATATAGACTATGTTGTGCCTGATTGGTAATATAGACTATGTTGTGTCTGATAGATAATATAGACCATGTTGTGTCTGATAGATAATATAGACTATGTTGTGTCTGATAGATAATATAGACTATGTTGGGTTTGATAGATAATATAGACTTTGTTGTGCCTGATAGATAATATAGACTATGTTGTGTCTGATAGATAATATAGACTATGTTGTGTCTGATAGATAATATAGACTATGTTGTGTCTGATAGATAAAATAGACTATGTTGTGTCTGATAGATAATATAGACTTTGTTGTGCCTGATAGATAATATAGACTATGTTGTGTCTGATAGATAATATAGACTATGTTGTGTCTGATAGATAATATAGACTATGTTGTGTCTGATAGATAAAATAGACTTTGTTGTGTCTGATAGATAATATAGACTATGTTATATCTGATAGATAATATAGACTATATTGTATGTGATTGATTGGCTGCGTGATGTGAGATAGATAATATTGACTGTGTGGTGTGAGATAAATAATGTAGGCTATGTGTCGGGATAGAGAAACTGTAATCTATGACGCGGAAAAGGATAGTCTAGACTGTACGTTCTGGTATAGATAATATCGACTATTATATGTGATGTGATATTAATAATATCAACTATTATGTGCGCTGGGATATAGATAATATCGACTCTATTATGAGTGATATGATATAGATAATATCGACTATTATGTGCGTTATGATATAGATAATATCGACTATTATGTATGATGTGATATAGATAATATCGACTCTATTATGTGCGTTGTGATATAGATAATATCGACTATTATGTGCGTTGTGATATAGATAATATCGACTATTATGTGCGTTGTGATATAGATAATATCGACTATTATGTGCTGATATGATATAGATAATATCGACTATTATGTGCGTTGTGATATAGATAATATCGACTATTATGTGCGATATGATATAGATAATATCGACTATTATGTGCGTTGTTATATATAGATAATATCGACTATTATGTGTGATATGATGATAATATCGACTATTATGTGTGCGATATAGATAATATCGACTATTATGTGCGTTGTGATATAGATAATATCGACTATTATGTGTGATATGATATAGATAATATCGACTATTATGTGCGTTGCGATATAGATAATATCGACTATTATGTGCGTTGTGATATAGATAATATCGACTATTATGTGTGATATGATATAGATAATATCGACTATTATGTGCGTTGCGATATAGATAATATCGACTATTATGTGCGTTGCGATATAGATAATATCGACTATTATGTGCGTTGCGATATAGATAATATCGACTATTATGTGTGATATGATATAGATAATATCGACTATTATGTGCGTTGTGATATTGATAATATCGACTATTATGTGTGATGCAGGTAATGAAGATTATGCTGTGTGACATTATTAGTGTGACTATCTTGTGTGATAAAGATTCTGTAGACTGAAGTGTTATATATAGACTTGCAGTGTAATAAGGTAGACAGTGAACGGTTTTATAGTCAACAGAACAGGACTGCTAAAGGCAATGATATGCTGGACGTAAGAATATCAGTGAGATAGGTGTCAGGTAACAATTAGTAAAGAAATTAATTTTGTTTGGAATTCTAAACTACCACCTCGCCATAAGTAGTAAACACAGAAGCAATTCTCTGATAACACAGGTGAGGGTTAAGAACAACAACCGTTGTCGTAAGTATAAATGTGAAATACATATAACTTATCCGAGCCACACCAAAATATAGAATACAAATTTCATGAGTATATTATCCGTGGCGCATTAAAACTCAGCTCGAGAAAAAAGGTGTGGCCTCCACCAGTGGTTTGTAAGCTTAAAAAAAACCCACACACACCCCACACCCTACACCCCCTACACCCAGTCGAGAACTATACATTCTTAAAGTATTCTATAAAGAACGTGCATATATGAACTATTCATTGTTACAGTATTGCATATAGAACGTGCATATCAGAATCATTCATTCTTACAGTATTCCACAAAAACGTGCATATACAAAATATACATTGTTACAGTATTCCACAAAGAACGTGCATATATAACTATTCATTGTGGTAGTATTGCATATAGAACGTGCATATAAAGAAATATACATTGTTACAGTATTGCATATAGAGCGTGCATATAAGAAATATACATTGTTGCAGTACTGCATATAGAACGTGTATATAAGAAATATACATTGTTGCAGTATTGCATATAGAACGTGCCTATAAGAAATATACATTGTTGCAGTATTGCGTTATAGAACGTGCCTATAAGAAATATACATTGTTGCAGTATTGCGTTATAGAACATGCATATAAGAAATATACATTGTTGCAGTATTGCATATAGAACGTGCCTATAAGAAATATACATTGTTGCAGTATTGCGTTATAGAACGTGCCTATACGAAATATACATTGTTGCAGTATTGCGTTATAGAACATGAATATAAGAAATATACATTGTTGCAGTATTGCGTTATAGAACGTGCCTATAAGAAATATACATTGTTGCAGTATTACGTTATAGAACATGAATATAAGAAATATACATTGTTGCAGTATTGCGTTATAGAACGTGCCTATACGAAATATACATTGTTGCAGTATTGCGTTATAGAACATGAATATAAGACTGACTGATTGACTGAGTCTGGTTTAACGCCGCTTTTAGCAATATTCCAGCAACATCACCGCGAGGGACACCAAAAATGGGCATCACACATTGTACCAATGACGGGTGTGTGTATATGTGTCATACACATATTACTAATGTGTGTGTGTGTGTGTGTAATATATACTACCCATGTGTTGGTGTGATATAGACTA